AAATGTTATGATAAATACAAAATACCTCAACAATGACTAAGACGAGTAAAATAGATAAAGATGTTTACCTACTTTGCTTAAAATGACCTTGGATTTGCTCAAAATCATTGCAAACGCCCACAGTTAAATTAGAGAAAAACACTTGAAATTTAGGAAATGCCATTGCTACGTAGCAACTCCTGAAGATAAAGTGTATGATAAAGTTTGGATAACTGATACGAAAGGCTATATTAACCATCAAAATTCAAGTTTAAGTAATAGTACCTTCGATAGAGGTTGAGAGGAATTAGATTTTCGTAAAATTGTTTAAAGTTCTCAGGTGAGAAGAAGTAGTGAGTATACCGTATATAGTATGCCGGTTGTTATATCAAGTAGGTACTTTTACCCTTTTAGAAACAAGTACAGCTGACTTGGAATCGGGTCGAAAAATAGAGACAAAAAATTCAAAGTTTTCCTTCACATTTGGTGGCTTTGATTGAGAATTTTTTTAACAATTTTATATATATTTCAAAGAGAAAATTGTTACAATTAGTCTACTGAATCAGTAGCTTAAAGGTTAAAAGTACTTTTTACAACCAGTATATTGCATGTAATACACGTGAATGAAGCTAGAAACATTTGGTTTGTCATTTCGATAATATCATCTATTTAATGTCCGTAATACAGAACTAGATGTAAATAAAATAAACATAGTGCCAACAAATTTCACATTGGCACTGTGTCCTACTTTCTATCAAGAAAATGGTTTTATATTGGTTACAAAAATTTTACATTTATATTGTATTCATAAAGATTCTGTTCGGCAAATTTTAACTTTTTGTGAACTGTATTTGCAATTAGAACATTCAAAAGTTTCAATTATTTATTTCATCAACGGAATAAAATTTGTACGTCGCTGTAATTAGTAAGGCCTATTTCAGATAATGTCAGGACCAAACGACAAGAACAATGAAAAACCTTGCCAACCTCCCGCCCACGAAAGACCACATGTACCAGCTTCACCTCCGTACGTTGCCAGAGATGCACCACGAGGTAGCAGAGTCCCCTGCCCGTGAGTGAACACGTCATTATTGTGCAGAGGCTCGTGACTAATTTTAACAGAATTTTATAATCTTAGGACAAACAGGGCTGTGTTCGAATATGATGCTTTTTCTATTTCGATATGTTTGCAATGGCATTTATGTGTATATTAAGTATTAAGAGTAATTTAATTAGGTACATTCTTTGATTTGAACCTGAAAGTAGAATGGAACTGATATTTTTTTTATAAATACTTAGATGAACATTTTAATGCAATGTTATTTCATAATCTTTTGTTTTACGCTTTATTTTATGGGCACAAACATCAAGAATTTCCATAAGTAATACAAATGTAAAAAGTTATTATAAATTTTAAAACCAATCGCTAATACTGCCCTGCCGCAAACAATCGTCAAACGGCACTGCCTGATAACAATTAGTGCACAATTAATGACGTTGCTGCTATTATTGCACAATGTTCAACTCACAAGAAAAATGCCTACAAAGGCATTTTTCTTCATAACCCTATCGAAGAACATGGACAATCACGGCTGACTGCCCATGGGACTTGTAAGCACCCGAAACATTCATTTGTTTAAAAAAACAAATATATGCGATTTACTTCCAAAAATTGTTTCATTTCCTAAGTAAAAATACCCTCGCAATTCTGTAGTAAAACTCAATTTACGATAAAAAATTTGTTGTCCGGGTACTATCCATCTCTGCTGCCATTTTATTTTGTTACTAAAAAGGCAACTTTCTGGCAAATGTTAAATTTGTCCGGACTACTCTAGATGAAACCTGCATGTCATACAAGGATTACAACCCTTGGAAAACGTATGAAGATCCCAATCCGCAATGGACCAGTTTAGCAGTGGAACGTATAATGGATTGGCGGTGATGATGATTTTTATATGTGGGAGCCCATCATCAGAATTTGAAAATTTATTTAGTTTTCTAAGTGACTGCTTGTCTGTCAGTTCTCCAACAAGAAATAAAATAAATAATTAAATGGCATTACAAATAACTGTAAAGCTCCTTGTGAAAGAGTTCGTTGGCGGAAGTACTGCCACCTTACCTATTTCTGCCGCCAAGCAGTAATGTGAACATTACTGCGTTCCGGTTTTGAAGAGTAAGAGTGCTGGTGAAATAACAGGCACATTGGGACTTGTCAGGTGTGTCATCAAATCTTTGCAATTTAAAGCTCTTAGCGGTACTCCAATTGTTACAATTGCACATGACATTGCTGTTACCACCAGGCGCATGACTTGTTAGTCGCGTCACTGGGTATTATAAAAAAATCCTAAATAACATATTAAATACCTTGTTTTCATTAAATACACTACCGATAGAACAAAGTGAAATATCACTATCAATCTGACTCATGCATACTCAATCATCAGTGTAGCTGTGAAGTCACAATTTATTTGAAACTGGTAATGATGCATGTTTTCCGATAGTAAAAGAATGGATTCCTTAAACCGAAGTGACTTACGATATAATAATTTGATATTAATTTGACTTAGGTGCGTAAGTTAGCAGACTTACTAGGAAAAAAAAATGCTTAATTTTTTAATTCTAACAAACGAAAATGTCTATTTTTCCGTGTTGTGCATAAAGTTGGAAAATTTGAATAGAATGGTAGATTGAAAACGACAGCACCAGAATTTAAGCTGAAACAAATTAATTTGACTTATGTGCTTTAGTCGGCCTGTGTACTGATTTAAATGAATGATATTAGTTTTTTACTTATGGCCTCATTTTGCTAACTCTAGAAGTAAAAGTGATAAAGTGATTTTCTAAGACAGGCCTAATGATTTGTGACCGGATACCACATTTTGTAAGGAAACTTACTACACTGATAAGAGAAACGCGAAGTGAGATAGATAAAGGACTAAATAAAGCAAAGGATTGCTGTACTAAAAATAAAGTTTTTTATACTATATTAATGAGTAATGCTAAGAAACCTTATCAATTAAAAGAATAAACACATTGAGATGTCTTAGTGCAAAGTTTGGACTGCGACGTAAGCTGCCGAATTACAGTTATCGCTTGTGCAAATTTGGCATGATCAGTCTTGAGGATCGTAGGCTAGTGTCAGACTTATGTACTTTGCACAAAATTGTTAATTCTGCCATGGATTCGCAGTTGTTTAGTGTACCTCTTACAAAAAATAATGTTTCACAGAATGGACCATTGTGCAGAATGTGTCGATCATATAATAGCATATGTTCCCACTATGACATTTTTTTCTATAGTTTTGAATGCTTCAAAACAACACTGTTTACTAGTATTGGCAAAAAATAACTTAAACTTAAACTTTTAACGTCTGTCCTTTTATATTGTAATTTATGATAATACAAATGTTGTGTACAATTATAATTGGATGTCAGATTTATAATGTTATATACGAGGGGAGGTCCAAAAGTCCGCGGAATGGAGGGGGCGGGAGCCCTTCACCCTTTTAACTTCATTAGTTTACGAGATATCGTCCTACAAACAAGTAAATCCGGAAGAAAACTGCAAATATGGAGCAAATCGATGCTGTCATCAAATTCCTTACCAAGCAAGGAAAACCTCCTCAAACCATTATGAATGAGATGGAAACTGTTTATGGGGATCAGTGCCCTGGTAAAACAATGATTTACAAGTGACACGGTCTTTTCAAACATGGCAGAGAATCAATTGAAGACGATCCTTGCCCAGGACGGCCAGTTGAGGCCACCACATCAGACAATGTTGAAAAAATCGAAAAATTTATATTGGAAGATGCCCGTCTGAAGAAGAAACAGCTGTCTGCATTAGTAGGAGTATCAGACACTACCATTTTGAGGATCCTACACGATCATCTTGGCATGACGAAAGTCAGTGCAAGATGGGTGCCGAGAATGCTCACGCCGCCTCAAAAGCAACAAAGAATCGATGCATCAAAGCACTTCTTGAAGCTGTGTGGCGCAGAACCTACCCCAATTTTGGAGCAAATTGTTACTGGAGATGAAACTTGGGTTCATCACTTTGAGCCCGAGTCCAAACAGGAGTCAATGCAATGGCATAAAAAGGGTACACCACCCCCTAAGAAGTTTAAGGTGTCGGAATCGGCTGGAAAAATCATGGCTACGGTTTTTTGGGATTGTGAAGGAATTTTATTGGTTGACTACAAAGAAAAGGGGGTCAATATAACGGGAGAATATTACGCAAGAACATTAGAGAGACTGAAGGAAGCTGTCAAAGAAAAAAGGCGGGGAAAATGGACAAAGGGTGTGTTGCTTTTGCAAGACAACGCACCGGTTCACAAGAGCAATGTTGCGTTGGCTGCTCTACACAAGTGTGGCTTTCAAACGCTGACCCACCCACCTTACAGCCCGGTCCTAGCCCCCAGCGATTATTATTTGTTCCCAAATTTGAAAAAAGAATTACGTCGGAAAAAATTTCGCGACGATGAAGAGGTTAAGGCAGTAATTTTAGCTCATTTTGAGAGCAAAGAGAAAAAATATTTTTTCGATGGCATAGAAAAGCTAATTTCGAGATCTAAAAAATGTATTGAGCTCAAAGGTAATTATATTGTAAAGGAAAAATAGCCTTATTGTTTTATATTATTTACAACCCCTCCATTCCGCGGACTTTTGGACCTCCCCTCGTATATGTAATAGTTCTAGTATTATTTGTAGTCTGTTATCTGTTGTACCATATATTAAAAATAAAATAAAAATAAAAATAAAAATAAAAATAAAAATAAAAATAAAAATAAAAATAAAAATAAAAATAAAAATAAAAATAAAAATAAAATAAAATAAACAAATTTGACAGCACTAAAAGCTTTTTTTTGAACATTTTTCTGATATTCTCATTATCTTATCTGTCAATGCGAATCGAGCGATAGTGTTCGAGACAGCCACATTAGCGCGCACAATAAAATATCAATAGATATCACAGTGAACCATTGGCTTCTTTGCTCTGTCTATTGTTTTATTCTGTATACGAGCAGCTCTACAAAAATGTCTGGTAAGTAAATTGTTAATTAAATACTGTATTTACATGAAATTACTTTATAGATCGCACTAGTCTATAATATATGCATATGTAGTTAATTAATTTCCATTTTACGAAATCAAAAGTTTCACCGAATGATGCAATTCCTATCACAATATGTACTTAGGTACGTAAAACTTCACATTACCTTTATGTAGAAATATGGATCTAAGTCACCATAATCGATTTAATTCTTTCTTATTGAAATCGTAGAACAATATATAGAACGAAAAACAAAACCATACAAACAAAATACAACAGCTGGCCTCATTGCTAAAAACATTTTTTGTAATTCCCGATATAACTAAATTAGATTCAATTAATCTTTGCAACTTTTAAGGCGACGAAATATTTTTAATATATCAATGCCGTAACAGTTAAACTTTACATAAACAAATGGGTTCCTTCATCAGGACACGGCTACCAACCGCCATATTACGGAGGCTACCGTCCACAGCCGCCGACTGTTGCCTATGTACCAACCCCAGTGATGATGCCGGCAGTGCCTGCTTACCACCCACCACCTCCAGGTCCTGAGCATTACCAGCCGACCTACGTCACTAACTACATTTACAATCAGCCTGCTGATCCTGTGCAGGTTGTTGACCGTAAGTGACATTTTTTAATGCTACAGTTGTGACACTTTAGGAAATGTGAGTACAAAGACAAAAACTTTGAACCGAATAATCTCAGTACCTACAGAGTACTAAAAAAACCGACCTCAAAAAGTACGTGGAATTACGTCTATTTGCTAAGTTTTATTGAAATATCCTTAAATCCGCCACTATACAGGACTTGACTCCGGAGATAATAAAAATCGGTTCTCACTACTCAAAGAATATTGAGAGAGAAACGCCTTGATTTGGAGAAATAGCAAACACAACCATTCAAATAATTACTCCTTAAGAAAATTTAGGCACTATTTATAAAAATAAATCTTCATGCGTGAACAGCCACCCTTAGAGAATCATGAAAATCGGTTCACAAATACCGAAGTTATCGCGTAACATACATACAAAAAATAACAAAAAACATACAGCCGAATTGAGAACCTCCTCCTTTTTTGAAGTCGGTTAAAAACAAAGCGCTATTAGACACGTTACCTATAGATCATGAGAAACATCTCCTAAAGTTCATTTAAGTGTATGACCAAAACAACACGGAAGAACTTCAGCACTTTTAGGAAGTAAGTAGGTAACAGCTTCATTGTCATATTTACTTTTTTTAATGAATATTATGATGTTTTACTATCACGATATTCATTTATATTTTAAGAAATTACTCCACTAGTTTGTTATAATTATTAATACAAAGATCGAATACAAATAGAAATTCTTTCGATCTGACAGGACTTGACCCTGCGTCTGTGCCATACGCATAGAGAGGTCGACCTGGTATGGCACTTCTTCATTTCCAATCACATATCCTGCTCCAAAGCCTCACTATTCGAACCTACCTTAGGATCCACATTTCCCTAACAAGGGTCTGTACTTACACGTGTATCATCATGTTGAATCGACGCCTTAACCACAGACACAACTTGAGTACTTACACGTTGTACAGTACCTACCCTTATAACAAGTGATATACATTTCCTAAGATCTGCAAAATTACCTCTTTGTTAGAGTACTGTGTGAAGTCATAAATATATATAGGTACACGCAGTTCATTCTCAGATACAATACTTACTTGCACGCACGCCCGGGGATTCCCATAAGAGTACGCAGAAACAATCGTTAGCCAATTAGCACGATTATGACAAACCTCTCTTGATTCGCTTACATTCAATAATATTTTCATATAGGCCCTCTTCTTCTGCTCACTACACACTGCAATCTTTTTGAGAACACTCTCAATTTCAACTAAGAATGTTCTTCGAGACCTTTCTCTATCAGTGATACCTTCCACGTTAACTATATATACAGTCATGTGGTTCCATGTGCCCAAACCACCTCACCATATATATCCTTTTCCATTTTTGTCAATAGATCCTCTATGAAACCACATCGTTTACGAATCACAGTATTCTTATCACTGTGTCACACAACCGCACTTTACTTATTTTTCTGAGGAATCTCATTTCTACCGCTTTCACACTATTCTCGCGCTATCATATCTCATCATCATCATCATATATCTGCTATCATACACAAGACTCATTCCCATACATTAGCGTTGGAACCATCACTAAATTATGTACCATCACTCGTGCCTCAGATACAGACTCGACAATCCCCTTATAGCTATAACTGCCTCCGTGGCCGAACGGTTACCATGCGGGACTGCCACGCGGAGGTCCCAGGTTCGATTCCCGGGCCGGTAGAAATATTCGTATGGCCTACATTAATTTCTCTCGTGAGTTTGAGTGTAGTTTGTGGTTGTCTATATGTGTGTCAATGGCACCCGCGACTCAGGGTTTTTGCCTAGTGTAGGGCTAGGTTGAGTACACACTCAACATAGCTACGGGGTCATAAATAATAATAATAACGCACACGCGTTATTATTGTTATTATTTATGACCCCGTTCACCGCATTGAGCTTTTTAACTCTCCTTTCAATGTCTTTCTCACATTTACCATTCCTTGTTAACATACATCTCAGGTACCCAAACTGTTTTATAATTCTCAGATTTAATGGAGCTCGATAATTTTTAGTTTATAATATTTATTTTTACAATATTTAACAATCCCTATTTATCAAACAAGCTATTTATCATATGTGATACGATATTACGTATAAGGTACAATCGTATCAATGTTATCTATAAGCTCTTAATCAATTTACAAAATAGTTCTTTCTTCGTTTTGTAGACGCTCCAATTCCCCAGCCTCTACCGGATCCCATAGAGTGGGTTCCTTCCAGCCCTCACACAGCCCAGAGCCTTTCCCATCGCGCAGTGGTAGCAGGCAAGGAAGGATGGGACAGCAGCCCTCTATGGGTTATCAGAGCTCATCATAGTGGGGACCTTATCCCTGGTAAACTTGCCATCAAACATAAACATGCATTTATTCCTTTCGGAGGCAATGAATTGACTGTTCACAACTTCGAGGTAAATTTACTTTCTAATTATACATTTATTTGTAAGAAATCTTACAGATTTGAGAAGGTTTTGAACTTGGTTCTTTCATATTCATCATTTATTTGTCTGAGTAGTACAATTAAGCAGTAATTAATAATCTATAAGCCCTTCTTTTTTGATAATTTAAACAAACCTTGTGTAAGAAGTAATTTTAACATATCTCTATATTTTTGAACTTCAGGTGTTGTGTGCCCCACCTCATTTAATACGCTGGTTACCAGCTAGCAATGGCCAAGCCCCCGCTGGAGCTATTCCCGGTGGTAACACTCATACTGGAGAAACACTGTACATTGGCAGGGCGAAACATTTGCGCTCTCTTACACCTGGAAAGGTAAGCTTAATTAATCTCTTAAAATGAAGAATGCAGGAACTCATTTCAATATTGATTGCTTTTACCTAGGGGAAAGCCACTACTTGTTGAGGTTCATCATGCCTAGTTCTACAGTTGTGACTTTATCTATTCGAATAGTGCATTATGTAACTATTGTATTTATGTGACGGTGCATACGCAAAATAGGATTAGTGGCGCAATCTCTAATCGACAAGCACTGGGGAGGCGGCCATCTTGAGCAGGTTGTCATTTTTGGGTAGTTGTGACGTGCGCTTGCACCCACGTGTTTGGTGGACGTTATTTCGAACCTTAATTAATTATAGCCATTCTTTATTGTTTCCTGCAGTTAGTGATTTTTAAATTAAAAATAATAAGAGAAGTGATTAAGGTAACTCGTGTTTTATTAAGATAACTTCTCTTCGCCCGATAATCCACACCTAGCGAGTGTAGTGAGAAAAAATGGAAAACCATCCTGATGGCGGCCGAATGACTTTATACTTTATCACTGAATAAATATTATTATTGTCATTAGAACAAAGCTTGGTGTCGATGATTAATTACAATCCATAGCAAACCCAGAAACATATTAGTATTTGGACAGTCTCCAAACGCGAGATATGGATTTTATTTTTAATTTTGTAATAACTCTTTTAAATCTATTTTTGCAGGGTCATTTTCAAGTCAATTTCCTCTACCTAATTTCGGTGCCAATTTGTAGGATGTTATCATGAAGTATTATTATGTACAGTAATATTTGTGTACAGTAACCTCAAATATTATTTAACATTTCCCGATAATTTACTCGAATATTTAAATAATAAAAATGGCCACCGAAATCACGTGAGAAAACTAACCTGAAAATTACACGTCAATATGTACTAATTAAGTTGTTAGCTTCTACGTTGAGTCCACGTAATTGGACTTTAAATATTTTTGAAAAATGTTATGACTTATTGTTTTTATTGCATTTCCGATATACCTATCTATGCTGTAAAGATTAAATCGTTTGCATTCGCAGGTTCATCCCAGCCATGGTTGCATGTATATGTCATTCGGTGGCAAAGAAGTGCGTCACACACAGTATGAAGTTCTCTGCAATATAATATAGATTTATTAAAAAAAAAATTATTTCCCATGTTTCTTGTCGTTAATGTGTTACTACGTTTTTATTGTGGTGAATTCCTCCGAGACAACAGTAAATTATCAGTACGCAATAAACATAATACTTACGTCCAAAGAACTGTTCTGTTCTTGACATGCCTTATTTAGTGAAGAGATATATTTTTATGTATTTTATATATTTTTTATTTCTTGAGCATTTTAACTTATAAAGTACAATGAAGTATCTGTAATGAGAATATAAATATACTCTAAAATATTCTCGTTATACATACTTCAATAAGAACTTTAATAAGTTCGCTATTTGTAAGGCAAACAGGAAAACTATTAGACAGGCATAAAATCGTACATATTTTGTTACTATAATCAAAATTGAAAATAAACAAAAATACAAGATATTCTGTAACTGTACATTTATGTTTTTTTTTTATTTAGTACGAAATTGTAATTACATTTCTTATAAAAACGCTTATATATTACAAATTAAGTAGATATATAACTTTTTGGTTTTATTTCAAATTTGTTAATCTTGGTTTCAATATAAGACAATTTTCTCGTGCCAGTGATGTAAAATGAATAGGACAGTATCAAAATCTACTCAGAATGAGAGTAAAAGTCATAATTTCGAAAAAATATAAAACTGTGGCAATTTTGTTTTTCGGCAAATTATATTATGCATAAATTTGTTCCTTAAAACCAGGCTCTGTTTTGAAAACTATCCAGATGCTTAAAACAATATTTTTGTTTTATTGAATATATTATGATGTTTTACAACAATTATATTAATTTTTTTGTGAAATTACTCCAGCAATTTGTTATAATTCTTAATAACAAAGATCGAACACATGGAAAAATTCCTTCGATCTGACAGGACTGGAACCTGCGTCTGTATACCAAAGAGCCACCGCTCTAACAATTGAGTTACAGATCGAGTCAGCAGCCATTAGTTAGTTACGTTTACGTTTATACGTTTGTTACAGATCTCAGTATTTCATCTTAAAAACTTTTTGCCTTAGCGCCACCTCTGAGAAACCTACGAAATGTTTTTACTTCAATATACTTACTTGTTTTTAAATAAAGTAACTAACTGATTTGAAATTGTGAACTGGCACACGATACAGTCGAAAGTTCGCTCACACTGCGGGAAATAATAACAAAGAATAATATTGCTTAACTTTTTAAAATGATATAATTGCGTTGCCACTTGCCAAACAAAGAATGTCGGTAGAATTGTTCTTACTACAAAATGAGGTCATATCGGGGACGATCATTTGATGTAATTAATACCGGTTTTTAAATATTCTAAATGCACTCCCGTTTTTCCTAAAGTTCAAGTACAATATTTATATCCGGGAAAAAATGGGAGCTCGTAGACAATATTATAATATTATTTTCCTAAATCGTTTATTTAAAATGTCAACATTGCGTAAATTTTATTGCATGTAAGATTAAAGCAAAACAGACAAATATTTAATGTGTTTATTTTAATAAGTACATATAATAAAATATTTATGAAATTTTAGTAAAAAAGCATTTCATTAGCTCTGCAATAATGATAATACACATCTGATTTAAACGTTTCGAATTTGAAGCCTACGCCAAATTTAAGATTGCACTTTTTATACTTTGTAAAAAACTACTAATGACATTGAAATGAATAACGATTACTAATTGATGTACTTCTATAATGCGCTAAGCATTGATCGTGTGCTCTATAACCCGAATTCTATTTGACGTGTTATGAATTGCAATTTTGTAACAAGGGAATACCGTCGCCATAGAGAAGTCCTCCCACCTCTCTCTCGTGACTTTATATATATCGCAACATAATCACACTCGACATCGAATTAGCAAGAGCAAGGTTTTATCGCGCTGAACATTTTCTCCTTTAGCTCACACTTGTAATAGCGTTTTAGTAGTGTAGGTCAGTACCCAACAGAGTCACAGCTAGTTATAATTAGCTTATTTAACGAGTTAGTCTTCAGCTCACCTTTTGTCTGGTGTTACAGTCAAGGCCATTATAGCGACCAAATGTTAATCAGTAATAATCTCAGTGTAGACTACTAAAAAAACCCACCTCAAAAGTACGTGGAATTACGTCTATTTGCCAAGTTTTTTTGAAATAGCCCCTAGTTCGCCACTACAGGACTTGACACAAGAGATAATAAAAATCGTTTCTCACTACTCAGAGTACCTATACTGACAGAGAAAAACGCCATGAATTGGAGAATAGCAAAATCAACCATTAAAATAATTGCTCCTTATAATAAAATGTAGGCGCTATTTATAAAAATGAATCCCTTAGACGTGGATTTTCTTCAAAATAAAATCTTTCTAACAAAAAAGAATCATGAAAATCGGATCACAAATACCGGAGTTACCGCGTAACATACGTACAAAAAAAACATACAGTCGAGTTGAGTCAGTTAAAAAAAAAGTGCTCGATGAAGAATATTTTAATAATAGTCATGTACTTGAAAACATTATAAGCAAAATAAAGGAATACAATAACACACGATAGAATACAGAAGTATGTAATGTCTAACTTTACGGAAACAGTGGTACAAATTCAAGATTGATTCTTTAAGAGAATTTAAATGTACATTGGTGCCAATTTCAAACAATATTTTCTAATCTTACCAGTATACCTAAAAATGTACAAACTTCCCATTAAAGTATTACTTTGAAAATTACATATTCTACATATAACAGCGCACTTACCAACCACAAACTGGAGATCATGGCGCATGGATATAATTTGGTGTAATTTTAGCCACGGGGCGTACAGAAATGACATAACTAGATTTATAGGAAAATATGTGTATTTTACAATGATATGCGCGCTTTATTGTGGGTACTGGGAGTAATGGAATAAAAAAAAATGTATTTTATACAAAAAATGTATGTCAGTTTAAATTGTTTCCGTGTTTTGTATTTATTGTCGATCACCCAGAGAATGATCTCGGTCTTATTCCTATTGCCTACAACTGACCGCGCAGGAATCGCACACGAGTAGGTACCTATGATAATATTTATTTTGACAGAAAGTCTATTAATAACATATGTTTAATACCAAATCTTTATTGCCCTGTTAAATGTTATCCCCGTAGATTTTAATTTTTTTTATACATAAAATAACAAGTGGTTTATACCTGCATACTTTAAAACTAATGTGGTTTTCGTACGCAAACATCCAATGACCGGGTCAGATTTTTTTTTATAATACCAAGTTAATGCACGAACAAATCGCGAACCTGGAAGGTAAGCGACACGCCTGTCCATAACAGTTGCAGTGCCACTCAGAGTTTAAAATCGCAATGATCAGAGGGTCACTGTCTTAAGAGACATAAGTTGACAAATCCCATGTGCCTGTAATTTCACTAGATCATGGTCCCTGAGTCCATTTATTAAGCAGTAGAGCTCCTTGTGAAAGATTTCGTCCAGGGATGTACTGCCACCTTACCTATTTCTGCCGCAAGGGTAAGGGTGCTGGTGAAATTACAGGCACATGGGACTTGTCAACTTAAGTCTCGGGGTGACGGGCGCAGTGGCAGTGCCCCTCAGATCTTTGCGATTTGAAGCTCTGAGTGGCACTGCAACTGGTATGGACAGGCGTGTAGCTTACCATCAGGGTACGACTTGTTCGTCCCGTTCGTTACTTGATATAATTGAAAAAAAAAAAGATCTCTGTAACCGATTTACAAAGATGTACTTAGGATAAATATAAAATAACAAAATGCTAAGACATAAACTGATGATTTATTCCATAGTATAAATACCAGTTTTGTGTATTAGTATAAAAATACAATTCAAACAATACTTACAAAAATAAATAATATAATATATATATATTACTGAAGTAAAGTTTTTTTCTCTTAAGACATTTAAACGAGGAGCAAACAATTTGTAGTTTTACTAATAAAACCTGTATTATTTTTTCTTATACCTATATTTTTGTGTTAGTTTCCGAAACAGGAACTATATCTTTCTTTTCGAGAGTTTTATTAGTCTGTAGTATCTTCACCACACAATTGCAGAACAACAAATAACATCCTCGATTCACATTCAGTGAGTTCTAAAGACGCCGACGAGAGCGTGCCGCAAAATTTCAAAATGTGAGGTGATTGTGACACACTTTTCTAGTTAACTCCTCGTTAGTTTATTACGCTATCCTCCTCTGGCGAGACCAGGTTGGTCGTCTACTACCATAACGTCATGGACAGGTGGAGGGGGGTTAAAGTCGTTCATAGCATTATCGACCACATTCACACCGTCCACACCGTCATCGCAGCAACCACAGCAATTACCCATTATGATGAACTGGAATGAGAAAGAAAATCAATGTTGTCATCTGTTTAATAGTGATATAAAGGCTGATTACGATGTTTTTTTTTAACTGGGCCAATATGGGAAAATCCAAAACTATCCTAAACTATTTTATATAGCAAAATTGTTTTCATAAAAAAGACTAAGGTTTCTAAGACAGGTTCCCTGTATCTCCTATGGTTTCGGATTTCCCCATACTGTCCTAGAAAGAACGCACTGTATAATGCCAACTCGGATAAATAATGCATAAAGGACCTAGTGAGCAGTTATAACCATATTTAAAATCGATTTCCCTACGAGTGTGACACTTGTCTTCGAATTATTGGGATAGTTATTAACGATAAAAATTATTACATAACCGTTAGATACGCTGATAAGCGGTCATATAGCACAGCTGTTTGTATTGCCCGTTACGCAACGCAGGAATCTAAATAAATGTATATCTCGACGTTTCTTCATCATCGACAGAGGAAACAATTGATTTATTTTATAAGGACATTTATTATTGAAAAATTATAATTTCCATTTAAAGTATTGATTCACTATTTAATTTAAATTATGAGGTCTTGCTAGACTTTTTGCTGTTTAAATTCAATAGTAGATTGTTTTTATAGTTACCTACTCCAAAAGTTCATATTGAATCTACAAAATAACTTCAAAAAAGCACCTGAAATATAATAATATGTGTGTACCTCAGTTTTATTATATGAATGTAATAATAAAACGGAGTTGAGGGCACTTCTGTAGGTATATAAAACATATTTCAAAAGACCAATATGGTGCAACATTTTCGACTATCTGTCATTCTCTGTGTTTGTTCTGGCACCACCAAACCTACTACTAAACTAAACGTACTTTGCTGAAAATGTTCCCTATTATAGTCACACATCTTAGTAATATTATTGGCATAATTTATCCTCAAGCGTTAAGTGATTCCTGCGACATGAATAATAAACCCTACGTAACCTAATAATGTATGAACGATAACATTTTTGGCGCCTCTTTGGTAGGCAAGTGGACAGTAGTTTTGATTACGAATTACAAGATAAAAAAATGTCAGTTGTCACGTCGTCATATATAAAATCTAGTTACAATAACTGTAAGAACAACGATATCTATACTGGAATCATAGCGTTTCTTAGATTCAGTAAAATGATAAGACTTTTTTGATATCCTTGTTAAGCCGATAGCATTAATTTTGTTAGTAATAGCTAAATTATTTATAAATCCCGTCTTTCTTAATTTTTTAAAAATCGAAGTGACATTGGTGATTCCCAACTGAAACTGCAAGGTATTACTTAATCGTTTTTTTTAAACTTGCGCTATGAGTTCGCAGTAGCTATGTAAAAAAAATCAGTTGTTTATTTTTTATGGTACTTTGTAGAGTACTAGTACATAGATTTCGTTGCTAGAGCACATCAAACTTAGCACTTTGGACCATTCTCGAAGTGGCATGGAGTGAAATTTATATCTTAATTGTCAGGCTTGACGCGCTCCGCCGATACGTAATAATTAAAAAAAAATCCAATTCACGTGGACTTCTAGTATACTAATGAAACCCTATTATAACGATAGGGACGGATGGCTATACGACGGCCAAACCCAGATTTGGCTGTTCGGCCATTAGTCGGCCGTGGTATTAGAATTAAATTGAACCCATCATAGCACACCGCATTAAATCATTATCCAGTGGGTATACCTCCAATTTAAAATTGGCGATTTGATATATGCCCCGTATAGCAACAAACATTTCTCAAAAGCACATCGCTTAGATGATATTTACAAAGCTCATAGCGAAATATAGTGTTATTAAGACCACATACGTAAAAAGGTTTTATTACAAACCAGACAATTGGGTGTGGTTAACCACAACAGTATCTTTATCAGTATAGCTTATAGATAATGTAATATTAAAAAGAAACCAGTAATTAACGACAAAAAGCAACATTACAATGTATATAGAGTATTGAGTACTTACATAACAGTGCTAAGCTGTGGCAAAACTTGATTTACAGTGTCTTCTAAAACTCCTTTTACTGTATTCACTGTGCCAATCGCTCGGGACTGTGATTAGATTAGATACTACCAAATTGATGTATTCACGGAATATTTGTAACTACATACGTGTTCATCGATTAGCATTTTTCTGTGACACACATCCTTTGCACATATCTACAATAATGCCTTGATTGTAGCTATTAGTCGCTATGTTAAAAAGAATACAATCAGATAAGTAAGTAATTAGATAAGATGAATCATGGATATAATTGTTACAGGTAATAGGTATTAAGTGCTGACATGAAAAAACCCTACGAGAGCCACGTAGTGTGGAAATAGCTTTTTTTGTAATTTTATAACTTGACACGATTAATTTAAATTTATGATGTATGTTCCATCCGACTGGAAAGTACAGCTGTAACATGCAGTCATCGAGTTCTGAAAATCCGAACGATTTACGCTGAGGATTCGTGATTAAAACCAAACCATACGTGACCATAATCGTGTATTTGAAATTTGAATAGCCATCTAAAAAGGCGTCATTTAGTCGGTTCTTGTCGCAAAAAACTAGATTTAGTCGGTACTAAGTAATAACCTTATTCCAGCGGTACCAAACTTCAATCTCGAAAACGACAGATTCTAGCTTGTATCTGATTGCACACAAGAAAAGTCGTGAATCAGCCGGTTGTACTCGCATAATTTTAAAATTAGTCATATTCTTATTTAAAAATAAGAATTATCAGACCGCACACAGAATACGAAAGATAATTTTGTATTTGACAAACATCTACATTTGGTCGTAACCAAGACGATATCATTTTTACAAAAGAATCCTTGCCAGCCTGCGGAACTTCGAATAACTAGTTTCGTCGACAAATGGTAGCATGAAAATTGATTTTAAACTTCAAAACTAAGAGAACTAGTAAGACTAGGGTAGGGCTAGCACGACTGTATGTAATGCTATTCTTGCACAGAGAACTCGCAATTATGTCGCCCTTGCGCAAGTCGCACCTTATCGTGCCAGCCCTACAGGTGAGGTTAAACTGTGGTTAAATGTGTACCTGCCTATTACTTAGCACAAAAAAAGTATTCGTCGCCAGTTTGGGATTCAAAAGTTAATGGTCTTCTTTGACTTCTCACCTATGTCAGAGGTCCTGGGTGTGTTTCCTTAATTGCCATTGCTGAGCCTGCAGCGCTGAGCCATTTTGAAAACACGAGTAGTTTAAAATGTCTGAGTAAGTTAAATAAAACACGAAGACTTGGAAACGCCCCAACCCTCTTTAGACCAATTGTAGGTTACGTTTGTTGGTAGGTCAATGGTTACGGCTTAAACTTTCTCCTTTCTCAAAGGAGATCCGAGTCTAGCATAGGAAAGTATATGATTAATAATGATTTATAAAACAATAATTTTAAGTTGATTTCTTGGTCCCAACAATACAATGATAAATATAATAATATGGTATTATATTATATTCAAATACTATTTCTTACTATGTATTGTATATGTATAGGTATAACGATTATTCACATTTCATTAACATTTTCTTATAAAGTAAAACAATAAGTAAAAAATACTCCTTTAATTACACAATATTTGTGAAGACTTAGTTAACAGTAAAACTATTTACTTTGTGCTGTTCACAAGAGTCAATCAAAAACAATGGAAATCATTGAAATAATACCTAACGATGTAAGTTACTACATCTGTTGGTGAAAACGAAGGATCTGAAGAGTCCCGCCGTTCCCATGGATTACCTGACAGTTACGTCAACTTTACACTTAAAAAATAAAATAAGACTTAGGAATAATGTAACAATATAATTATATATAGAACTATACCTTCTTCTATATACAACGTCCTTTTAAAATGCTAACAACCTCAAAGACTATATTAGTAAGATAGTAACATCAAAAACAATGACGTTTTCGTTGTTCTATCTGACACGTTTCAGATCTGTATTTGGTAGTAAGTTCAAACGTACAAGCGCCCTCTGCGACGACTCCCACCCCCGTCCTGCACACAGTTATTATATTTTTATATGAAAGTAAAATCATCTGATGAATTATTAAAAAAGTCATCGAACAAAAGCTGTTGTTTATGGTGTCAATAATATAGTCCCGCGAGATTGTTATTATTTTACAAGTAATCCTGCAGTATTACCGTATTACTTTTACATTTATCTTACTCTACATTACAAACATCTATATAAACCAAAATAGTGAATAACCCTGAAGAAGAGAAGACATTATTATGTTTAGGTATATTATGTACATACGTATTAAAATATACAAATAATATTTATAATAAGGTATCCCTCTCACTGTGCCCAGCCGTGAAACTATATATATAGGTTGACTATTATTATTACATTATGTACACACGTTATAAAATGACATTTTGTACAATTATAAACATTTAAAAGAACACGCATTTTTATATTGACATATTAACAGACTAGGTAGGTACGTAACTGTATTGCTGCTGCTCTACTTATACCAGCTTATACGAATATTTTTTAGATATCGATATCGAGTTGCTTTAACAATATTCTAATAAATTGAAATGCACCTTACTTGTTGGAATTATTATCTAACAAATATTAACAGTTTAGATTAATATATACAAACAATAATTCGATAATACGTTTATCTGAGCTGCATCATAATTAAAATATAGTGTTCCACGCAATATTCCACATCTAGGAATAATTCGATAAAATATACAAATAATTCAATAAAAATATAAAGATAAAGTGATTATCTCAGACTTTAATATATAGTTAACCAAGAGTAACTTCTTGGTTAACCTTCGTTCCCACTAGTTCTATTGAATAGTCCTGTTATAGAACTACTTTGACTTTTTAGTCGCAGTTGTTCTTTAAGACTCTGTCCACTACCTATATAGTGTAACAATTTACGTCATGAAGTAGTATTATTAATTTGTAAGAATATGCGGAAGACGTTTCGTATCATGTTAACAAATTAGGAATTTTCTACTATTTACGTCCACTAAAGGATAGAGGTCGTAAGCTAGGAATGTTTACATCTTTGAATAAATCATGCCTCAAGTTCAGAATAAAAAGAAATTAGTACTTTAAAATTGTACAGTATACTGATGGTGTAAACCAAACTTGTCACCTTTACTTATTGTTTATTTTCTTTCGCTATCTTCTTGCAGTGTAAGGCGGTGGCGGTTGATTAACTATTATGGTAGCAGGTGGCGAGCTGACGTGATGATGATGAACTACTCTTTGTGGAGGATCGCCGCAGCAGTCACAGCAGATACAAGGAATACAGCAGCAGCAACACGGCCGGCATGATATGTTGCAACCCATTCTAGAATAGTAAAGTTATAGGGGTTTAATTTTTCAATAACAAGTAATTAGTTACTCAAGAAACGAAATAAATTGAAGAAAATAGGTTAGCTGCACATATTGTGAGGTGTGGTAAAGACAGGTGAAGTAAAGCAGTATCCGAGCGGTGATCAAGAATCATGGGACGCCCTGCAGCGAGATGCCCATCTCGACGATGACGACATCGTCAAAATTGCGGAGCGTAGATGGGTGAGACTAGTACAGGATCGAAGTGGATGGCACACATTACCATTGGGCCAACAGTCGGCCTGTGTATGGTGAAGGTGAAATTCTGTCAGTTTCCCATCCGGTTACGGTCGTTTCCTGGTGAAACGGTCTAGAATAACGTCTATGTTAAAGCAATGGCAGAAAGTTTTTTCTTTTTTTTAATAATACTATGTGACGGGACGAACAAGTCGTGTACCTGGTGGTAAGCGACACGCCTGTTCCTAACAAATGCAGTGCCACTCAGAGCTTTAATCACTAAGATCTGAGGGGCAGTGCTACTGCGTCCGACACCTTGAGATATAAGTTGACAAGGCCCATGTGCCAGTAATTACACCAAAGTTAAGTCGTCTAATGAGAGAGTGGTTGCATCTCGTTCGAGAGTTCGACAGCTCTTACCCCGGTGGCAAGCCTGTGGCCATATATGTCATGACAAGTGGTCAAATATCCGTTTTAGATAGCATAAGGTAGAGCTCAAAATTATCTTTTAAAAACATTTAAAGTTAGTTTAATCTGTCCGACTTATCGGAACTTACCCTAATGACGCAAAGCTAAAAGAACATTAATAGCATTAAACAATTTCAATTAAAATTGGGTTATGGATTTTTTATGATATCTCAAAAAATTATTTTGTACGTCGCCGCGTTGTAGTTAGCAATACTTACATAAGATAATAATTATTAAAATTCAGTAGAATGATGCTTTTATGGTGTTACTTTTGTAGACAACGGGGTTGCATTGGTCATTGCTTAGTCATACAAGACGAGAATAACGTATTAATTTTGGTTGACGATAAGATGATAAGCGCTAGACTGTGCCATTTAATCTGATATTTTTTTTAAATATTGCTACCGTTTGTAAATGCAGAACAGGCCCCGCGGTAGACCTAGATAGAGTAGGTAGAGTAGTCCTTCGCCATATGTTAGAAATCAAATAATAATAATAACGCCACACACTCGGGAAACCCTGTATCGCAGGTGCCACGGACACACACATAGACAACCACACCCAAACTCACGAGAGAAATAAATGTAGGTCATACAAATATTTCTCCCGGCCCGGGAATCGAACCTGGGACCTCTGCGTGGCATCGCCATTGTGTCTCTATTAAATTTAAGTATACAGCCTAGAAAATTAACATTATAGTTAATAGTATGCAAGACATAGAAAGGGAACTGGGGCATAGATACCTATAAGAAAAGAAAATGGAAGCCTTTGATAGTAACGAGATAAAATCAATGAGATAGTAACGGCTGACATATAGAAATGAAAATGAAAGATATAGTTATAAAAAACATTGGCGTTACAACGGCCATTCTCTCAATTTGGTGTTCTCAGCCTAATTACCGTAGCCATTTTTTTCTCGCTTATACCCAATAACATTGAAATATGAACAACTTTAATCTAAGCTATTAAAATGTCCAAATGGCTTTGGAATAGACAAGTAGATTTCGAGTTATTGAGACATAAATATTTTTGTGGCAAAGGTAATTAGAAATTGTTATTTTACATGGCTGCGGTAATTAGAAAACCTATGGTAATTTCCTTAAAAATTTCAAAAACTGCAAGAGATGGAAAATAATCGAATATCGTAATACGTAAAGGCATCTCAGCTCTTTTATTTCAATAAGCGACAACACATTTCTATGAAAAATGTAATTTATATATAAGGGAACAGGAATTAGAAAATTTTAAAACTAAAGTTGCGGTAATTAGATATTTATGTAGATTGCGAGCGGATACGTCTACACTGGTACGTTCGCACTAGTCAAGTGCCGAGATATGGCTGATAGCTTACGATTCAGGTGAATTTCAAATATTTCGTGGTTTAGGGATGAGCACTTTGAAAATGAATGGCGATGGTAGCTGTACCTTCCGGCCGGACACTTGATGGTAGATTTTAAAAGAATGGTCGTCGTGGGTTCTATTTTTATGTTATTACACGAGCAGTATTTCGTCATCCACGATATTAAATTGCACTGGTGTAATTCATTCCGGACTAAAATGAGAAGTAAAATTGCAGACAAAGGTAGCGGACAAGCTACGGTAATTGGAGAACATGGTTTTGAAAAATAAAATATGTAAGTATATGTTAAGCAAGTAGCAGAGCTAAAATCTTAAAAATACCTTTAGATAAAAGTATAAACTACATAAAAAAAATATTTGCGGTTCTTTATAATATTATACAGAGACAGGAAAGGCCAGCACATGAAAAAATTTGCTGTTTTGAGAATGGCCGACAAAATTATTGACACAACAAAACGCTTTCGCTTTAATTGTGATTGTTGACATAACTGTTAAGCCACTCTGTCACACATGAAACAAATACTCTTATAACTCAAAATTGGGGAATTGAGAACACACAATTTGAAAGTTCAAAACATTATTGAAGGAAACTAATTAATAACTAAATATTATGTATAAATAAAAGTAATAATTTTTCGCAATAAAAATTCAGTGTTTTTTCCTGAACTTTCAAATTGTGTTTCTCAATTACACCAATTGTTGAGTTACGACAGTATATGGTTTGATGTGTGGACTATGATATTATTTATTACTAGTATTTAAGCTAAAAGCAGCTTTGTTATTATGTATCTACAATGTAAAACATAAAAGCACTATTTGTTAAAAACTGGATGTCTGTGCTATTTATTAATAATAAATAATAATAATAAATATCATGATGTTTTATCGTACTACCATGACAATAATAATATTTGTGAAAATACTCAACTAGTTGCTACTAACTACATTGTAGTTGATAATAACAAACTAGTAGGGTGGCCACTTCGAAAGTAATCTAGTAAATCAATAAAAGAGCAAATAGAATGCATGTTACCTGTTTAACTGACGCACTCAGTTTAGGCCCTACTGCTCTACTCTAACACTCCTAAAGCAATATGCAAATATAGCAACACCTTTACTAATGCAATACGTTATCTAATCCTTAAAATATAGTGCAAAAGGCCGTCCACTATTGTGCGAATGATACTAACCTTATTTATAAAGGTAAGTTTTCATCTAGGTTGGGGGTAACCTCCGTAACCAGGTTGTGGGTATTGCGGGTATCCTTGGTGTGGCGGGTATCCAGGGTATCCTCCGTCTGGTGGAGGAGGATATCCGTGATGCGGCGGGTACCCAGGGTATCCTCCGTCGGGCGGTGGTGGGGGGTAATATCCTTGTGGTGGAGGCGCTTGTTCGACAATTACAGGCGGATGATGTACGTGGACTGTTTGAGGCGGCTGCTGTTGTTGACCACAGGCGTTTGGACACAGACAGGGAATAAGACAACAGGCACTCAGAGCCAAGCAGCACGGATTGCAGCATACATCACAGTCCCCGCAGTCGAAAGACAAGCAGATCCCCATCGCGTTAACGCTTCAAATAAAAAATTATAACAAATGTTACTAACGCATGAATTTTGTAAACCCCTTATCTTAATAGATACTTTATTCTTCAAAATACTTTAATTAGAACCATAAAACTACAGCAACTCCATCTAAAATCGTACGAACTAAAAGTTACAAAATGGCGGATTGTTATCACTGTTCACCGTTATCACCGTTATCGTTATTTTATCTACTTATGACTCTAAATATTAGTCATAAATATCACATTTCAAGCACTAAGGATATGACACAAAGAATGTGCTCAAAATTTTAAAAGTAAAAGTGCTAGAAATTCAGACACAAGATACACTCGAAGCATTTTGGATCATCACTTGTTTGTTAATTTTTTTACAGCAGTCGTAATTTAATAAAATAGATAATGGATTTTTAATGAAAAAATAATTACTAGGTACAATATGTATAAGATGGATGTCTGCCATATACAAATAAATGTTTTTTTTTACAATATCAAGTGACGACGAAAAAGTCGTGCGCCTGATGGTAAGCTTCACGCTTGTCCATAACAGTTGCAGTGCCACTCAGATGACTCAGAGCTTTGACTGCGCCCGTCACCCTGAGACATAAGTTGGCAAGTCCCATGTGCCTGTAATTTCACCAGCACCCATCCCATACCCTTCAAAACCGGAACACCGTAATGGTGACATTACTGCTTGGCGGCAGAAATAAGTAAGGTGGCAGTTCTTCCCTGGACGAACTCTTTCACAAGGAGCTCTACTACTACTAAAAGAGTGCAGTACAGTTAATATAAAATTACACAACTAGTTATTGTTAAAATCTTAAAAACAGTCGTGCATTTTACAAGTATTACCGCGCACTGTTGCATACATAGGTGTTGTTTATTACGGTTACCAATATGTATACAATAACATATTATTGAAATATACTTTCTGTAAAGTTCAATACCTTTCCGAAATAAGGACACGGCTGTAATCGAGAAACTATACAATGTAAGGCAGATAAATACTGTAAAACGTCATGTGACTTTCATTACAAATAATCTACTTATATTCGTTTAGTGGACGACCTTGTTAGTAATTTATTAACTAATTGAATGTATGTAATTAGAAACTTGTATGTACCTTACCTTTTAAATTAAATTATAATATGTATTAAACTATGATAATACAATTAGTCCGAGTGGTGTAAACACTACGCGAAAACTCCACTCAAAATGAGTCAATTCTTCATCACTTGTTGTTCGTCACAGCTAGAAAATCTGAACTGTGACTCTGACGCCTGCGCACTGTGGACCGAATATAGATGTTATAGCCGTCTTTTTTTCTCTTTGACAAAATGATGTACAAACGATAAAGATGTAAAACACGAGCGAACGATACTCAGAATACGTCAGACTGGAAATGAGCGCGAACTTGAAATCAACCTTGCGGTCGCAAGTACGTGCCGCCTATACAGGACTTTAAACGAGTAGCGTGTATTATAAACAGTGTAAGTTACTGTACCTTGGGAATCAGTAACATTTAATTTTAGTACACAGCGACACGCAATGGTGTTAGTAAAGAAACATTTCTTTTGAAGAAATAAACTTTGTAAGGAAACTGTCGAACAGAACAACAATAAACAGGAAAACATGGCTAAGACACCACGGTTATTGACCACAAGGCCGCTATAGTTTGTCATGGTCGACTTTTTGCTTCATTTCGTTTGTAAAATAAATACCTAAGTAACTTACTCTAAACAACGTTGTACAATTCGGTAATACTTACATGTAGAGTCATTTCTAAATAAAAAAAGAGTGAAGTTCGTGTGTCGGGATGTTTACGTCCTTTTCTTAAACAGCGATATAACTCCCAAAAATAATACATTTTGAACTAATATATTTTCTGAGTCGAAACATACAACTTTTTAATCACCATAATCCCTGTATCTTATCGTAGACATGTGTCACACTCAATCAATGCTAGAAATTAGACGCGTGTTAATTTTTGCGCAATAGGTACTGGACAATTAGACGTAATAAAATGGAAATAAAAACAAATTAAAACAAATGTCTGGAAACGATTTCGCTTTGTTACCATTAGCCGAAACAACACGAGATTACGTACAACTAGAGGATATAGTCGAAGTGAACGAAGATAAAGCAGCAAAAGTTGAAAATGGAAAGGAACAAAATAAAAATAAAAAATGCGAAAAAAAAACCTTATTGCGAAGATTGCCGAGTCTCAGATCTACGTTGAGTTTCAAAATGGGTCGTCTCCGCAGTAGTTTTCGGTCAGTAAACTGTTTTAAGACTGAAGATGAAGACAAAGTACCTTTTATGGCGAACGTTCCAAAAGCCCGTAGGAGTTTAGATATTGGTGTAGGGCTAGCTCGTCGCATGTCTTTATTCATCTTCACTAAAAGGACTGTGTGTGCTCATCCCTACCACCCGTATTATCCAGAGCAAACAACAAGGAAAATCTATGTATTTCATGATGAACATTGAATATGTACTGTGATATTCAGCGATTACGTGTGTACCGTTACGCGGAAAGTGAATCGCATTAGTGACGCTCGTTCTTTCACGTGACAGAAGGGTGTGATTTGGAATTACGCAAATGTATTGGGTGTTGGCTGGAAACTGAAGAATTGAAGCAAATGCTGAAGAAAACAAAGTCCTGAGTTGGTACTCAAAAAGGGTTTAGACATTGTAAAGATTTGAAAGTTATAAAACTTATGTAAGCGTCCTGAATAATGATGACAAATTATTATATTTTAAAGACATAGTGCCTTGTTTTTACCACAAATAAGTAGCTATTATATTACGAACGACTACCTAATACATAAATAAATTTGAAAAAGAATTTATATGGTATTACTTTTTACGTTTATTACTTTACATAAACAAAATAGCGCTCGATTGCACTTTATCTCATACGATGTACGTAGGTACAATACAATCTCTTGTGTTTTGAGCAATAAAATCTGAGCCTAGGTGAAACCAAATAGAACAACCCACTATAAAATTGGTACAGTAAACCTTAGATATTCTACATTATGTTTACAACTTACGACCAATGATGGCCAATGATAGATACGATGCGACTATGGGAACACCACAGAAGTACTGGTTTTGTTTCTAACGCATTTACTCTTTAGACAATACAACACTGGAACTCTCTGCCTCCTCATCTCCGAGGTCCCGGGTTCGATCCCCGGCCGGATCAGTGCAGAAAACTAACTTTTCTATATTTTCTCGGGTCTGAATGTTTGTGGTAAGTACCGTTGTTGTTTCCGACTTCCATAACACAAGTGCTTTAGCTACTTACTTTGGGATCAGAGCAACGTATGTGACGTTGTCTAATATATAGCCCCGAATAAGCTAGCTTTGACGCAATTAATTATTTAGGTATGTATTTATTTTATTTGTATTATAGATATTTAGTTAGCCCATTTATTGCCTATTTAATGAGCAATAGAGTTCATATAAATAAAAAAATCGAACATTTCGTAGCGAAAATTTTGCGTCGTCCTCCAGATTGTCGTTCCAACAGGTTTTGGCGATCAATTTTTAACGGTTTAAAACAACAATTCACTTCATACTTCGATCTTGACACACATCACCAATTTGACCATATGTTCATCTTGTATCCAAATCTTCATTCAGTTTTATTAACACCATGAACCTGATTACATTCATATTGGTTTCTTATGCACTTGACAGTCGTGCAAAGCAATTTAACAGGTGTGAATTAGCAATAGAATTGGTGAAGTACGGTTTTCCACTTAATGAATTGCAAGATTGTAAGTACCTACCTACTTTATAGTAATATCCTATTTGACTCTTTTAATATTCAAGCGTACAAGTAAAGCCACGTCTAAATAAATTTTGAATTGTGTCTTCTACGACTTTAGCAATGTTTTCTTTACCTGTTAGCAAGCGCCAAAATACACGCGTCTTTTGTCTTACACGATCCTAGAGCAAAGTGAGGCTACTGGGACTAAGCCTGAATGTATCAGGGGCATTAGGGGATAAGGTTGTTGCAGGTGAAAGTAAATATTTACTTGTAGATGTATAAATAAAATAAAAAACCTCAGAAACATACACACTTACCAATTTTGAAGTGTTTTTTTTTTTATGATACCAAGCGACGACGGGACGAACAAGTCGTGCGCCTGGTGGTGAGCGACACGTCCATGACAGTTTAGTGCCGTTCAAAGGTTCAATCGCAAATATCTAAGACATAAGTTGTAAAAAATTGTTGTAATTTCACCAGCCCCCTTTCAAACAGAAACACTCTCACTTAGCGGCAGAAATAGATAACCTGGCAGTCCTTCCCTGGACGAGCTCTTTCACAAGCCCTACCCTACTACTTCTGATCTTTCTTTATGACTTTCTGATCAAGGGGTATGCCTGATAGAGGCGGAGAGCTCCAGAAGAACTAATGCCGTACATGGTCCCAACGAAGATGGATCCTACGACTACGGGCTCTTCCAGATCAACAGTCGGTATTGGTGCAACACAGGAGCCACACCCGGAAAGGTGTGCAAACTGCGATGTGAAGGTAGGTCCAATATATTATTGTAAGAAATGTCAGGTAATAAAGGTACAATTAGGTAGTAGTAGTATATACAGTCACGGATTTACCCTAAGGCCCAGTAGGCCCAGGCCTAAGGCGGCCAATCGTAAATAAAACCTAAAGGCTCTCGCACATTATGGCGGACCCCACTGCACCGCATCGTATAACAATAATCTGCCTAAATCACTTTCGTACATTGTCTGAATCGATTTCGTTAAAAGTTGGCAATAAAGTAATTTTATTATGTAGTCTACCTGTATATGATGAGTGAAAAAGGGGCGGCTGGTACTAACTACATGGCCTGAGGCCTAAGGCGGCCAAGACTGCAAAGCCGCCACTGAGTATGTACATCTTAATTACCGGTTGAGGTTTTATGGATGGCAGCTATTATCCAAAGACAAGAAAGACGAAGATTAAGATAGATAATGAGATTAGCCTTAATGGTTTGACCTACCGTTTCTCAAGCAGAAGCCGTGGATTCGAATCCAGGCTCGCACGAATTTATGTGCAAAATTTAATTGTAAATTTAGCACTAGCTTTTCGGTGAAGGAAAATATCGTGATGAAACCCGCACGTCAGAGAATGTTCACGACCCTTGGAAAACGTGTAAAGTCCCCAACCTGCAAAGGCCTGCATGGCGGACAATGGCCTAAACCCTTGCCTGAGAGACCCGTGCCCAACAATGGAACGTATAAATGGGTTGATGATGATGATAAATGGATAATTCACTGCAAAAAAACAACTTTATGACATTCTCGACGCTATGATGAACGAAAATTCGTTACGAGTATGTAAATGTAAGTAGTATATCTAAAGTCGTAAAAACGAATAATTAACACTGGAGACGGACAACAGCATCACTTTCTAATTATTGATTTAACTTGTATGCAGTTAATTGAGAACCTCACGGGCAATGAATTCAGGTTAAATGCAATATATTTTTAAAGCCAGCAAAAGAAGTGAACAAAAAGAAATTTAAATCAGTTTCAATATTTCTTACTTTACTTTCTGTTTTATCAAAATATGCATTTCTTATTCTCTATACCTACTCGATAATAGTCACTTAAAAATATTCCTTACAACATATTATTTATTTTCAAGATACTTGCTATATTATTGTAGTTTGTTCAAAAAGTAGGACACTTTTTAGTTTTGTAATTATATTGAGAATTACAAGAGAAATCCATACTCAAAATAATGTCAGTTGTTTAACTTTTAACTGTTGTGAAATTCATTTATTAATATTTTCCAATTATATAATCATTTGTAAGCGACCGGAATTCGTTGCCTAATAGGCATGTGTTGTGATTTATAATAATATTCTTCAACAGAGCTACTCACAGATGACATCACAAAAGCAGTGGAGTGCACAAAGACCATTTATAAGCTACAAGGATTTGAAGCTTGGGTAGGTTGGGTAAACGAATGTCCATATAAGAATTTACCAAACATCTATTACTGCTTTGACGACGTGAATTATTTACAACTACTTATGTATACAATGATCAGAAAAAATAATTAAATAATTGGATATAGCCTGCAAAATGGAAAATAGTTCTTAAGATACTACGCCACCTGAAAATGCATTGACTTTTTAGAGGATTTTTATAAAACAAATTATTTTTTAGTTGTATAAAATTATTGATTAAAACATTTGATGCAGTGTGGTCTGATTCTTTTCTCATATAATATCTATCAAAATAAGACTAAAGGCGCCTTTAAATTAGGCGCTTATAGATGCGCTGCAGTGACACCATTGTGGCGCTGCAGCCGCGTCACTACTAATTTTCCTTCGTTCATTTTTTAAAATACAAAAATATTTTAAAAGATAAAAATCCTTAACGATTTCGGCGGACCGCTAAATAAAATGGAGATAAAAATAACTAAATTAACTATAAAATCATTTACATAAAATCAAAAGGAGTTACCTGATGTTATTTATTATTTTCGGAATAGAAATAGAACTATGCCAATATAACTACTTGGGATGGTTTTTCCCCACTAGTTCTATTATTATTAAAGTATAATCTATTAGAACTACTGGGATTTCTTCGTCTCAGTAGTTCTATAATATAACTACTATGAACCAGTGGGAACGAAGGTTAATTTTCATACAATATTTAGATTTTTATTTATTGATTTTTTTTTTAGTCCGCTAACTAAAACGCAGCTAAGTGACAAAATATTGTTTTGAGATATCATAAAAAACCATAACCCAGTTTTAGAATATTGATATTGTTTAATGATATTTCAGCTTTGCATCGTTAGGGTAAGTTCCCATAAGTGGAACGCGTTAACTAATTTTAACTGTTTTTTGTGCTCTTTCTTTTTCTATTTAAAACGGATATTTGACCAGTAGTCACTTAGCCGCTATTTAGTTAGTGGACGGCAGCGTAGTTGTACCGCCACTGTCGTCTGCAGCGCTACAAACGTCAATTTGAAGGCGCCCTAAACCTAATGATAATCACTTAGTTTTATACTCGATTACCACTACCAACAGGCCTCTTATTACTGTGTGGCTTTCAATCTTTCTTCTTTCTTATTTTCTTTAGACATACTGTGATAATCATCTAGCGAAAGGTGTAGTAAAATCCACACACTGTAAACTTGCCACATTTCAGTGTACATCCATAGACGTTACATCTATGTTTCGTTTTGAACATTTAATAAAACACATTGTCATAACTAATATAATATCTACATTTACAATACATAAAAAGTCGGTATTACATATGGCTAATGTCATTAGCATAAAGGAATTTAAAGCTAGGAACAAATGAAAGGACAAAAAAATTATGAACATTTATGTTCAATATAAATTACTACATTTTAGCCATTGTATGTAATAATATATAAACAATATATATATAATTTAAATTGTCTCCACGACTGAACAGGTAACTGCATGCAGACGTTCCGTGTTCGACTCCTGGGCTGGGAGAAATGCATAATGGAAATGAAGCTTAAATAAACCAAATACTTTTCGTCACTTATGTCATAAATAATAAATAAATAAATACATTTATACTCTAGCCAAATTCGATGTAGAATAAATGTCAACAAACAAAAACATTTGATTTTTAGGGTTTTCATCCCAGACTCTTTCACAGTTACAACAATTTCAATATTTTCCTACGAAATTCAGTTAGATTATGGATAATACTAAATCTTGAAGCCATGTTTATAATGAATATTATTCAAGTGAAGTTTAAAACTACCTAAAAATGACACAAAAATGACCAGTAATTAATTATTTGAAAACTGTGTCATCCCTAGTGACTTTTTGATTTGAAGGGAGAGATTGCAAACATCGAGTTCTAGTGGTAATTCAAGTTCAGAATCGGAAATAGATGCTGGATGATATAATATGTAGTGAATTCATATTATTATTATCATTTACAATAATTGGCTAAGTAAGTATTATTTCTACGTAACCCAATTACCTACTTACCTATTTAAATTCCAATTACGAGAGCAGGCCGTGGGGGCAGAGGAAGCTTTAATAATGAGCATTGAAAAAAATGTTCTTTTCCAATGTTATCATTGGTTGCCTAGCAACGTTTTGTTATTAAACATTCTACATCGAATTTGGCTAGAGTATAGACAATATCACATATGTTGTTGCTCCTGTCCCAAGGTAAGTATTTAAATCGGAAACAACAACGGTACCACAACCACCCAGTCACGAGACAATGTTGAATACTTAGTTTCTACATTGACGCGGCCGGGGATCGAACCCGGGACCTCGGATATGGCGACACCATAAAAATCTGTGTGCAATCCACCACGCCAGACGTCGTCGTCGTCTTTATAAAAGTACGACTATAAATAAGACATTATAAATAAATTTTATTGACATGTATTCTGTCGCACATATTTAATTACATATTCATCTGCATATATTTAACTACATGTTATATTTAACTGCCTACGTGACCGGACTGTTACCATGTCTGCTACGCAGAGGTCCCGCGTTCGATAACTGGGCCGGGAAAAATATTTGTATGACTTACATTTATTTCTCTCGTGACTTTGGGTGTAATTTGTAGTTGTCTGTGTGTGTCCATGACACACGCGATACAAGGTTTTCCTAGTGCGGGACTATGAGTGTGTGCGTTTAAATATATATACATTATACCTCCATAACATGAAACAATAAATTAATAATATCAGTACCAGATCTCATCCTGTCATGATTTGGTATAGCAACACAAGAAAAATTAGTAAAATTAAAATTTCCATGAACTTATAAATATTTTATAGTCAACAAAATGACAACTGTGCTTTATAAGTAATTAGTTTTCAACTAAAACTATTATGGTAGGAACTGCTCTTACAATAAAAAAAAACTAATACTTACGACTTCATGATTTCAAAAACGAAAATATAAATTTACAATGATTAAATTGCCTTTTCATTGCAACATAGTCAATATGAATAATATCAATGTAACCCATATCTTTCTAACAATGTTAGCCAGTGAATACTGTTAATTTTCGTATTTAAAATACACAGGTACTAATTTTAATAAAAAGTTATGTGATTGTCTGTTAATATCTACTTTGATTTGTGAGCAGGGCGTATGTACATTTCGTACCATCAGCCACAACACTGATGCAACAAAATTTCAGGTTTGTATCTGTCAGATACAACTACGTCTACATACAACTTCAATAGACTTATGACTTTTTCCCCAACTCCTGGCTTTTTTTAGTTGATGCTTCAATAGCTTTAATGAATGTGGATCTGAAATTGCAACAATAACTATTAAGGTAATTTCTTTGCTAGCTTATTTCATAATCACATAAAAATTATTTATAGTACACAAAATAATCGAACAAACAAAAATTAACATTTTGAAATGTACCACAAGCATCATATTAATTACAAAACAAATAAGACACCCTATGATGAACATGTTTCAATATTTACCTTAAATTTCCCTCTTCAAGAGCTGCAATCCCACAGATAGTTGTTCCTCCAGGTGAGCAAACTTCATCTTTCAGCAACCCAGGATTCTTCCCAGTGGACAGGACCATCTGACCACTCCCCATTACCATCTGGGCTGCCAAACGCTGAGCTGTACTACGTGGTACACCCTGCTTGACTGCTCCATCGGCTAGAGCTTCTATTACTATATATATCTGAAATAATTAACAAATACAAATTTGTTATTACACAGATTGCTAAAAGTTGTATGGTATTTTTTGCCAGTGACCTAATATGAATTGTGGCCGTGATATATCATTTCAAACAGTCTGATATGTATCTAGAATACTATATTATTCTTCAAATTGCATAGTGCTGAAAATCTGGAAGGTACCAGAATTGTTTGACCAAGGATACACTAACTGAAAAATATGTACTTAAGCAGTAGGAAAGAGAATTGAGGTGCACCATACACTAGAAATAGACTACACAACCTGTAAGAACAACGATGCAGATTTTGTATTATATAGGTATGAAATGATATACACTTCCGGACACTTGAATCGAGCCACCTTGATTTTTTTGGTTTGGAGTACTGTAACTTGTAAAAAATCTATGTAGAAGGAAAATGTTTTGATGCAGTTTTGGAGCTGGTTTAATCAACATTCATTTAGAGTGCCACTGTTCCAAATTTGAACTACAGTTTATTAAAAAAGTCGAGTTACGTTGAAACAAGTCCATATTTGCTTTTTTCAAAGAAAAAAATCTAATCGATTTTTAAATAAAAAAATGTTTTAAATGAAAAGAAATGTTTATTTAGTAACTTGTATTGCCTCCCCGTGCATTAATGACAGCTCTCATACGGTTTGGCATAGAATTAATCAATGTCGTTATGACATGTTGAGGAATATCCTCCCATTCTTCCAAAATTACATTTTTGAGCTCCTCCGTGGTTTGCGGGGCAGGATGATGAGCTCGAACACGCCTCTTCAGCTCATCCCATAGATGCTCTATAGGATTCATATCAGGACTTCGCGCTGGCCATCTCATAACAGTGATACCAATGTCATTTAAGTACTGCCTGACGATTCCCGCAGTATGGGCCCTTGCATTATCATGCATTAAAACGAAATCTTGGCCAATAAATCCAGCATATGGCATCACGTGGTTCTCTAAACATTGGCGAATGTATCTATTGCCATCTAGGGGCGGCAGTCGTGGTCCCGTTACTACCTCTAGCTCAGTTTTGCCTTCCATAGAGATTCCTCCCCAGACAGTCCATGATCCTCCACCATAACTCACTCTTTCGTCAATACAACATTGCGCGAAACGCTCGTTCTCTCTTCGGTACACCTTACTCCTTCCGTCATTACCGTATAGCATTATCTTGGACTCATCTGTGAAGAGAACCTGGCTCCATTGATGTCGAGTCCAATTTAGATGTTCGCGCGCAAACTCTAAACGGGCTATTCGGTGTGCTCGTGTCAATTTGGGTCCATTGGCTGGCTTATGGGGCTTTAAACCACGTTCATTGAGTCGCCTTCTAACGGTCCGAGTACTTACAGCCACTCCGTGAAAGTCCCTGAGCTGTTCTTGTATTTGAACAGAGGTAAGGCGTCGATTGCGTAAGCTGGTAGTGACAATGTATTGATCTTGTCTCGCCGTTGTCACCCGGTAACGAGGTCCTCCTGTTCGCCGAACGAAGCCGCCAGTCTCCAGGTATCGATGGTACACTCTTTGGACAGCGGAACGACTTATGAGAAGTTGTGAACTCACATCTCGCTGACTTAGCCCAGATTGAAGAAGTGCTACAGCTTGCGCGGCTACTTCAGGTGAAGTATCCATAATTTTATAGCCAAAAGCGATTCAAATTAAAGAAAAAAAAAACTAAACTAAACTTTGGTTAACAAAAATAGCGAAAATTCAAACAAAATCGAAATTAAATCGCTTCAAAAGTAACTTTCTACAGCCATTATTTTTTTCAAATCAGTGACCAAGCTCGGCTTTTGTTCTTTATTTTAAAATCTTAAATTCAAATTTGGAAGAATACATAAAAAGAATACATTAAAAATGCATAAAAACTTTTTTGTTATATTGCATATATTTTGTGTAATGGGTTTTTAGGCCCGGGAATGTAATGTGGCTCGATTCAAGTGTCCGGAAGTGTATATTTTTATAGATACTGGAAAATTACTTATTTTACTAAACCTGTATCAGTCAGTCAAGTGAAGTGGACTAGCGAGGCGTAAGGGTCAATACAAACTGATGGATTTCTATGAGATACAAGGGCTGTAACTTGAAAATTAGCCTGATGTACAGCTTGAAATATTACGTTCTATGAATATTGAAAATCTGTTGAAACAGAGAACAGGTTTCAAAATACATTTCATACTGAACTCCAGACTGACTTTCTAGGTAAGACTATTAAGTCCGTGATTCAATTTCCACATAATAGGTTATAATAAAATAGTTTGAATGATTATCACAAGCCGAGGCTGATTTAGATTTATTAAACTTACATATGCAGGACCACACCCTACAAGAGATCCTAAAGAATCCATTAAGTATTCAGGAATCTTCTCAACCAGGCTGCATTTTCCTAAAAGATTTTCCAGCATACTACACTGTTGTGGAGTGACTACGGAGTCAATTGAATATATGCAGCAGCCAGCTCCGACAGTGCAGGGCATATTTGGAAGGATGCGTATGACAGCAATATTCTTGGATAAGTCTTGTAGAACCTAAAAAATAAGCACAGTTTTTCAATTGTATGTATACTATACATATAAATATATTTTACAGAAAACAGTTTGCAAGCAAAAATACAACAGTGAGATAAAGAATCTGATAAGTGTAAGCAGATTATCTTAAACAGATAATACACAATCGAAATTTAATTTCATGCCAAGTCATAAGGCAAGAGAAATGAGATTCAGCAGATACTTTTTAAATTGCAGTACCATGCCTAGCCAATATAATATCATTTCTGTATTCGGCACTATGCAAAATAATTATTGGATGATGCATATAAAGCCTCAAAGGTTTTAGACAAAACGTGAATGCGCAAAAACAGACCTCCCGTAAGCTTGAAATTGTAATGCCGGCCAACATTGATATAAACACCACATCCTTACATGACACGCTTTTAGTTAAAGTGTTTAGAGTATCGGTCACGGCTGTAGACAGCAAAGACGGCTTCACACCCAGGAATATTACATCACAGTTGCAAAATACTTCACCATTCTTGTCGGTTATATTTGCACCCATTTCACTCCAGTGAATGAGGTTTTTTAGATGAGGCCCTGACACCCAGATTTTAGATGCTGAATGGGTTCCTTTAACACACAACATCATATTTGATTTATTGAAACCGTCATCATGATCATCAACCAGTTTAATGAAGGAAAAGTATAGTAATGCAAATACCATTATTGATGATGCCTTTGCCGAGCGCTGTTGACATATTTCCACCACCTATAAAACCCAAATTGAACGACATGATATCTGGACGAGGCATATATATCCTAGCAGGTAGTTTACAAGGACTTTTGACAATAAAAAGACAAAAATATTGATTCAAAAGCTCAATACAATAACCTAAAAAATTTGAACATTTTTAAATTTTGACTTTGATTGCCTCTAATTGCAATTGGTTGATTGAAATATTTATAAATTCACCAATGGGAAGAGGAATCGAATCTTTGTGATTGGTGTATATATTTTGACAGTGTTCTAATGTTGCCGTGTTACAGAAGTGTTCTAAATCTACTTAAAAAACATATCGCACTGCTATTACAATAATGTAGTTACTCTAAATATTTGAAATTCAAGATTATTTCATTGCTGAACGCATAATTTGATTCTCTACGGGTCAATAAAACCATAGGTAGAACGTTGTAAAAATCAATTAAAAGATACCTACTTAACTCAAAATGAAACAAAATTTATGTGAGCTAGATCTGGACAAAATACCTATTTCTTGCCCAAAAATATTAAGTTATTATTCCCTTTTATTTTTGAATATATTTGGCAAGTAGGAAATTGTTTACATGTCTATAACAAACTTGACACAAATTTTGATGATCTTCCACTAGAAGTGAGTAATTCGTTTTTCATCGATTCTGAAAAAATGCACTTTATTAACAGTGCGATATAAGAGTCTATGCATACGGCGGCGTATTTTATACGCCCCGACGACGCGCGTATATGTGTCGTAAACGCGCGTCATCTGCGTGTATACATATTTATTTAATTTTAGTTTTGATTGTTAATTTTAGTTAGTTTTTGAAATGAAGCAACTACATGAAATTCTAAGTGTAAGTTCCAGTGGAGTATGAGCTTGTTGCTTGCAACGCAATTTTTGCGCGCGTTTGAATCGATTCACTACAGCGCGTCTGCGGTACGTATACTCGCAGATAATGCACGTTTACGGCGCGGTAAACGCGCGTTATTATATAGAATACGTCATGTACATAGGTTCTAAGATCATTGATGCGACCCATATGTCAAAAACACCCGTATGTAAAAATGGAATACCACCACATTCTAAACAAGATGAATATAGTAAAAAAAAATATTTATAACACTGTTGAAACATACGAAAGCATACTACTTTGTTATTGTTTTTCAGATCTATTATCAGTATCACAAAAGCTTTGCAAGCTTTGATTTTAAAAGCTAACTTAAAACTGGGGACGAGTCAGTATGTATGCACGTATTTAAGTATGTACGAACGCTGTATTTATTAATGGATGATAAAATATCACTGTCCATCTTTTACCTGCGCATAAGATTCAGTAATAAAAGACATTGGTGAAATACGTGGTAATATTTCCTCTATTTGAAATTTTTCGGAAAATTACCTAACAGTAAAAAAGACAGACAAAACTTCGTGAAAGAGTTCGTATAATATAACTCGACACAAGTGGGAAAAAAGACAGACTTAAATACTACTATTCGAATTGTACTATATATTATACTACTACTATACTATTTTTAATATTGCAACACTGTCAGTTTGTGGCTTCGTTTGTAGGGTGAGGTGCGAGGTGTATTTTTTCGATTATTTTGATAAAATAACATTATAAAAATGCAAAAATAGTGTTCAAATCTGGAAAGTGCTCAACTATGTGTCGCGATAGTGATTTAACTTATTATAGTTTGTTTAAAGTGTAGTGTCCAACATGTTTCGATGTATACCTTTGTTCAAATGTAATCGCCAAGTGGAATGTGTGGACAAGCGGCATTGCTCGTTGCCAACAGTACCTGAAGACATCTTGCGATATTCCAGGAGTTTGGAGGAGTTGTTTTTGGATGCGAATCACATAAGGGATTTGCCGAAGGTGAGCGTGTAACCTGTAGCTGCGTTCGTGTAACCGTGGGCGTTCACCTTATCACTACGTGGTGTAAATAATATCAGTGCGTCTTAGTTTGTTGTCAATTCATTTTATGGTCTCTCGTCGTACTGTACGAGGTTTGCGAATGAATTTTGTACACACTCAAGTCTTGACCTTAATGGTGTTTAAAACGCCTGTTGATTTGTGCTAAATATTTTGGTTATCATTCTTTACAATACGACAATATAAAATACCAACAGCAGCAACCATGTGACAATTATTTGCGTGCTGTAGATTACAATCATTTTGTGCAATGAGACTGCTGTGTTTGCTTCAATTAACAGAATATGACCATGATTCTTCTATTATGGTTTGTTCATGACAAGTTTGTGCAGTTTACATGTACATTCTATCATAGAAATTAAAACGTGTTCGTATTTCCAGGCAGGGAAACTGTATTGTAGAACATCTTCTACAAGATTGATTCTTCTAAGTTTGACCTGTAAAAATAAAAGCACATTAAAAATAACATTTGAGTCAACATAATAAAAAAAGAGTACTTGTATAGACCTATGCTAGGTGTAATAAAAAAATCCAGCTATATTTCAGTTGGTGTTTTAGTGATAACTTTACATTTGTTCTATTAGCTGACAATCACACCTTTTTGCTTCACCCCATATAAAGTCATAAATCTTTCTGTTAAAAAGAAAATATAACTGTCTCATCTTCAGACTATGCTATCTTTGAAATTATTACTTCTATTTAAAACCTATTGAGTTTTAGCTATCAAAACTCAATAGGTTTTAAATAGACTTACTCTTTATGAGTTAGACAAAAATTCTTAACTAAAAGTAAGGAAAACACCATAGAAATTATTGGAGTGTTGACTTAAAAAATATATACAGACATGAGAAACACATAATAGATTTCTGAAAAGTAATAACATCTGCGTTTAGGTTTTTCATTACTTTAGCAATGTGATTCCACACTCGATGACAAGGTAGATATTATGGTCATAAACCTCTATTCCACTTAGTTCAACTATAAGTTCAAACCTTTGAAACATTGGTATTAACTGTTCAAAGTATGTTAAAATAGAACATAAAATCACAGTTCTCTTTCTCTGAATATAAAAGATACAACCTCATTCAGAAGCCGTTAACTTCTAGATTAATTAATATTGGATATAAGTTCAGAAATGATTCTCAGCTCTTCATGTCTATTTGAAAAATGTTTTAAGAATTATACACACTATATGTAGTGATATTTATTTTTCAAAGTTCTATTATATATTAGTTAGAAATACGGTTTAAATAGAGCAGTTGCAATGTCCGTCTCTATGTTAGAGAAGATTTAGTAATTATAATGCTTAATGTATGTTTGTAAACATTTGGGAGTGGCTTGGTGTACTTAATAATTTCTTTTTGCATGATGTCTTTGTTTTTGTTTCTTTGTCTTTGTTCAAATGTTATTGCCAAGTGGATGTGTGGACAAACGGCATTGCTTGTTCCCAACTGTATCTGAACACATCTTGCTATAATCCAGGAGTTTGGAGTTGGTTTCGGATGTGAATCAAATAAGGGATTTTGTGTGACATCCTGTGTTAAACTATTAAATTCCCCATACTATGAGTACTAGAGCAACATACCTAGACCAGGACCAATTAAAAAAAGTTTATTACCAGGAATCAAACCTGGACCTCTTTACTTGGCGCCCATAGTGTTTACCACTGGGCTATTGACATATTTATTTCATGGGAGATATTTCAATATAGGAATAAATAATGACCCTTGTTTATCCTGCTTACTATTGGGTAATTTTCTGAAAAATTATGAATAGTTGAAATTTTTCTGGAAAAATTCCCAAAAAATTGGAATATATTTTTCCAGTTGGAGGGCTCATATTACATTCTACATTTAGAAATATTTTTTGAAGTTTTATTTAATGTGTTTTATAAAATAAAGTTGTATAGCTAAAGGCCATCTAGAGAGAAAAGAGATTTAAAATGAGTTCAGAGCAGCGTAAAACCCTCCAACAACCACACCACCACCACTTGTTGTTGGCTCCATCGTTTTCGTTCAGTAACATCAACTTTTGACAGGTGTCAACGTCAAATGTGGAAAATTATAGGAAAAATATTGGAACTATATCCAGAAAAATATTAATTCTTCTGATAAATGTGATTTTTTTCAAAATGGAGAATTTTCCATGACCTAACACTAATCCTGCTACCACGTGGTTGTTTGGTAGAGATTGCTACCTGTCAATAAGCCTATCTGATGTGTTTGTATTTTTCTCTTATGTGCATTAAAGAATATTGCATTCTTTTATAATGAAATACATCAAAACGATATAACCACATAAACAATCAGATTTTCTCATTATTTTATCATCTTGGTTGGCAACATTACTTCCAAGTTATTATTTGAAATGTAGTATGTTGGAATGTTGTATAAATTACTTGTGAAATTAACAATAACCTCAGTGTACTAAAATTACATTTCCTTGTTTCAGAATTTCTTCCGGCTACATCGCCTCCGAAGATTAGGCCTTAGTGATAATGAAATTCACAAGCTTCCACCTGACATACAAAATCTAGAAAACTTAGTAGAACTAGATGTATCTCGAAATGGTAAGTCATACTTACATAACTTTTAAGATCTATGACATGTACAGCGTTACTTAACTACTATGATCAGATAATAGAGATTTGCAATTATTAATTGATTACTTTAGGCACTTTCATAATCTCCATTATACAAGGTCAAGAGAACGTCAAGCTTTACATTTAAGATTTGAATTCAACTGTATGCTGCCTAACATAATAATAATCCAAAGCCCAAAATGCTAAGTTTGATGTGATCTCGATTGCAAATTTTTCAAAATGAACGTAACTGACATCGTATTATTATTTTAATTCTTATAAAAATAATGTCTTGTAATGTTCAAAAACCTTAAGTAATACTACGTACAATATGAAGTAAAAAGCAGAATACGACTCCATAACTTCTGATCGCCATAGCATACCGTCAGGTTACGGTAAAACGTGACGTGAGCAACGATAAAATCGCCACCAGTCATATTCCGTTGCACTTTCATCGCATAAATAACTTAGAAAGGGTGGTCAATGCTTTTGTACAAGATTATGTCACGGCCGATATTGTAAGATAAAATTTACGACTGAATAAAATCTACATCTATCTGTGCTGAAATCCTACTTGAGTACATTTAAATCATTTATGAAAAGTAGTTAAATAAGATTGTAGGATGAATGGAAAGTCCAACCTATGACTTGGAAAGTGTTGTAGACACTGTAATAAAGTCATTAAATAACTTTTTTTGACACCACTGATTACACGACATGCAGAATATTAAAGTGGAGAGTTCAAAGAAAGCGTACAAGAACTAATTTTTTTCGCATGATGCGAAATTCTCTTACCACATGACTGATCTGATACATTCAACATATTTTTTTGTTTATGAGTCGGCAGTAAGATAAGCAAGTCAGATTAATAGGTCCGTTTTAAAACAAGAGCCGGATGAATGGTATATTCATAAGATATCCGAAAAGGTGACAGACCTTACGTAGATATGAATTTGTTTTGTATGCGTAACGTGTGAATTGCTTTGCAGCATAACTACGCGTACGCGACAGGTGCAAAAACATAATCGGTGATATTAAAAAAAACCCAGCGCGTACACAGGATTATGTAATTGTCGGTAACCTATCACAAACTCGAATTTATTGCGTCCGAAATAACATTTGTTCGAATTTTTATTACCCCGAAAACCGAATTATATGAAACCGTTTTTCTTTCAGGATGTGTTGGATCTTTATCTCAAAGATACGATTAGGTTCGGTTAGGGTAAGGTACGTTTAAAAGAAAAAACAGCTTCCTCTCCAAATTACTTTCGAGATTATGAAAATTCGAGCAAACGTTATTTCTGGAAAATGTCATTTCGAACTTATGATAGGTAACCGTAATTGTCACCCAAGCAATAACTTCTGTGAAAGGTGTAGTTAACATAAAATGATGCACTATCTTGTCGAAATTGTAATAGCTTTTCTGTATTTGGCTTGAAATAGAATAAAATTGAATTACTGTAATGAACGATCCATTTCACAATATATTAGACCAGAAGCTGTAGGTTATCTATCACACTGTGACTAATTAGCATCTTAAAAGAACTTTATCTCAGACCACTGCTTCATTAAATACCCGTCAAAAGTGTTTATTAAACATTGTAATGATACATACTTTTAAATAAGTTACACAAACAAAGTCTTCGTTGCACTTTTAACTTCGAGAATTCATCTCATTCATGTATGATTACATTTTGTTTAATGAGAACACGAAATCGCTATGTACATATGGTCTTGTTAATAAAAGAGTGGGCTCAAATTTAATCCGATAGTAAATAAACAATAAGTTAATTGAGTCGGAAGTAATGGCGACCCGATTTTAATTTATTAAAGTACGTCTTTGGGGTAGTAAGAGGAAACTATTTGACTGAAGGAATTCTTTTTTCCACATATCTTAGTGAATTTGATCACTTTAGTAAATTACACATTTCTCGAACTTGAGCTATTTTTATTCCGTAGCGTATTTGGCAGCAACAATCTTTATAATTTATTGTTTTTTAGTATAAATTAGAGGGCTCATTGCTTGCTCTCGTGTCCTTATATTATATGCTTATGTAATCCGACTAAGATGATCTTGCTCTGATATTATTGTTTTAATATCGATTTACTACGTTAAGTTTTATTTTAAATCCGTGTAGCCTTCAGGGGTAGGCGTGCCTGTGTGGCAAATTGCTCGCATGAGGTTTCCGTCGACCTCGCGTCGCAAATCTCCGACGAGACTTCCGTATACTATGTCAACTATGGCATATTGCTACTTGTGCATCTTTTACTTGAGATTTAATATTGACGCTGCATAATTATATTTAATAAATCAAGTTCATGAACGTAACGGTCAATAGAAAATGTACTTGAATGAAAGTTGTTTATTCCTAGACTCCATCGATTTAACGATTGGGATATTTAATTCAAAAATGTTATTTAGATTTGTAAGATAGACATTTGGAGTTGACACGTACTACTTACACAACTTTCTGATAAATCAGCGATTTTCGAGATGTCGTACATACGCGTACTTATGATTGGTAATGCAAAATACGTGTGCATAATGTGAAAATTACAGTATTACACTGATTAAAATATCAAGCGCAATGTCAATGAAGGTGCACAATAGTCATCTATCTTGGCTCTACCATTCATTGTAAATGGATTTAGCAAAATGTGTACACATTTGTTCGCCATTGTCCAAATTTAAATAATTATGTCAGTCAATATCATATTATGAGTTCTTAGGTTTGCGCGATTGTTACACATAGGAAATGAAAATATTTTTCCGGATTTAAATCGCGTATATTTGTTTTTTCAAACAAACCGACGTTTCGGGCCCTTTACATGTCCCATGGTCACGGTTGACTGAGGTGGTACAGTCTTCAACTAGTTATTAGTTATTATACACCCTATTTTTTCACTATAGTTACAATAGTTATTAATTAAATACCTTATTTTTAATTTTACAAAGAAAATATTCCAATTTACGCTATATTAAGTTTTACAAATTATTTTATTGAATGAATTTTTATTAAGTTCAATTTATTATTAATTTTAATAGAAATTAGAATAAACTAAAACATATTAATTAGTACTGCAATCTTATGTCTGTTTGGGATTTTTCATTAGAGGAACTACTGGATCCCAAACTGGTGGTACGGAGAAACCATCTTCCCTGTTGAAATTAGGATGTTTTTTAATTTCAATGGCCTCTCGCAGCATCCTGGGTAGATAACGGACTTCTTTTGCAAGGACCTGGGGTTTGTCAAACTTCATTGAATGTGTAGGTTTATCCATGACAAGCTCGCAGACTGCAGACTTTTTTACACGACGGTGTTTGACATCAGCTATATGTTCTTTGACGCGGGTACAAATACTTCGCTTTGTTTGTCCAATATAAGAGAGACCGCACTCACAGTCAAGCTTGTAAACTGTAAACTTGTGACCATGGGACTTGTAAAGGGCCCGAAACGTCGGTTTGTTTGAAAAAACAAATATACGCTATTTAAATCCGGAAAATTAGTTTCATTTCCTATATCATATTATGAGTTCTTGTTTTTTACAGACTTTTTACGTTTAACACAAATTTATAATAACTCTTTATTGCACAAAGAAAAGATACATGAAACACAAGTTATAAAGGACATATACAAAGGTGAGCTTATCTCTAGAAGAGATCTCTTCCAGCCAACCATAGCCTAGGTGAAAAATGAAGTCTGCGGGACTAATTATTGTACAATAAAATTTAAAATTAAATATGAGTAAAAAAAAGTAATTAAAATATATATATATATATAAATATAAATAATATATGTATACATATAAAGGATGATAATATATACATATGACAGACAAACACACCTACATGAACTTTATATACATAAATACAAACATAAGCCGAATATATATTACAATCTAAACAAATTACTACTTTATAATATATGTTACCTATTAGCTATCTAACGCGTTCGACAGGTAGTGCTCTTTTAATTTATGTTTGAAAGATGCCACCGATGGACTGTCACGAATGCTAGCAGGCAGTCTATTCCACATACGAGTTGCACTTACCGTGAAAGAGTTGTGGAAGAATTTCGAGTTGGATTGGGGATTGATTAGTGATCTAGTGTCACAGGTACGTTTTGGGCGGGAACTGGGGATAAGGGAGAAAAACGGGAACACAGATAATGAGGAAGCTGGGGGTTATGTAGAATTTTATAAAGGAGACAAAGAACGTGCATATCTCGGCGAAGTCGGATTGGTAACCATTTCAACTTAGTTCGAAATTCCGAGATACGGTCATATTTCCGTAAACCGAATATGAAACGGATTGCCAGATTTTGTAGGCGCTCCAATTTGTTAAGCAGCTCCTCAGTAGCATCCAAATAACAAACATAGTCGAGAAGAGGAAGTAGTAAAGACTGAGCAAGCATAACCTTGGTATTGAATGGCAAGAAGAATTGAAGCCGCTTGAGAGAATGGTAGGAAAAATGCATGCGTCGACTAACCTCATTTACCTGCGGTCTACTAAGACAGTGTATGATCGATTATCAGACCCAGGTTCTTTGTATTATCAGCATATGCAAGACTCACTCCATTATACGAAACCTTGGCGAGATTATTAATGTCCAACCTACAGTAAAGTCTGTTGCTACCTACGATTATTGCCTGTGATTTCGTTGGGTTTATAAGCAAACCAAACGCATCAGCCCAAGACTTCACCACAAGAAGATCTTTATTAATAGCATCAATGGCAGAAAGGGTATTAGCTACATCAAAGTGTCTATAAATTTGCACGTCATAATTTATTTTATTTTTATTTTTTTATTTATTTATTTATTGCATTAGTAGACACGTTACATTTAAATGTTACATGCACCCGGTAAGGGTATAACAAATGATTAGTCTTGTAAACTAAAATTAAAATTAATAATACAATTTGAATAAAAGAATTAAAGTCAAAAATACAACTTGAATACAAGAATTAAAATTATTAATAATACAAA